TAAAGATACTGATGGGGCTTTGCAGGAGGTACGGGGCTTTGATGCCGACCCTGACGGATGTATATTTGGAGTTTGCATGTTCTCCTCGTGGTCACGTGGATTTTTTTCTCCAGGTCCTTCCGGGTTTTCCCTCACATTTAAAAACATGCGTTTAGATTATTAAAATTATTTAGCTGCTATACATGTCCACGTAAGCTACTTCGTTGAGCTATCGTTTGTGGCCAGATCGCTTCTGAAAAAGCTCGCAGTTCAGTGGGCTTTTTGTGATTTTCTTACTGGTGAAACGTCGTACTCAGATTGTAAATGTTGTGGCTTGGCTCTCCAACACACCAGTGTGCTGTACTAGTGACGAATTGGCATGTTCTGTTTACGTGACAACCCTTACTAGTTGGCTGTGTCGGGTAATGGCGGGTTTTAACGACATATTTACGTGATCTAACCCAAAAAAACCTCTTATGGACAATGGGGGATATTGTGTAGGGACCAATGTCTGAGCATGTTGTGTAATGACAATTGAGCCTGCATGCGGTGTGAGGGGACTAGTGGCCACGGGAGGTAATGACAGGGGAGTCAGCCTACAGTGCGAATGCACTAGTGGCCACGGGAGGTAATGGTAGGGGGTATCAGTTGTGAGTGCGAAGGGACTGATGGCTACGGGAACGTTCGAGAAGGTGGTCAGGAAACGGAAGAGAACGGTAGAGTCTGCCGGTGGAGCGAGCGTCCAGAGTCAGCGAGAATGATCGAGAAGGGGGGGGGGGGTAGCGTGGCTTCGTGTTGAGATACAAGGGAGATGCACGGGAGATGCACGGGAGACTCGGGGTTGTTGCAGTGGGGATCTCTGCCTGATGTCAAGTGAACGTGTCTTCAATAAAGTGCCATCTCGAGAGAAGTGTGTCAAGTCGTCATTACACATGCACACGGAGACCCGCCTGTGCCACTTTTGCCGGATGTCGAGTTTAAACTATGAAACGATTTATTTTGTATTTTACCAGTGTACTGAAGCTCGTTTGAGACGTCCATTTAGAAAGAGGGTGAGTCTTTATTTTCGTAGTTGAATCGTAGATACAACTCCGCGAACCGTCAGCCCCGATGTCCTCCACCTTTGAAGTTCTGGTCCCAGGCAAACGGCCTCGCTCCACCCCGACTGTGCCACCTGCCCTTAATTATCCCAACGTTCCTATTTTATGAATTATCTTTCCAGTCCCCCACACCAGGTAAGATCCACTCAGCTCTATAGCTCTTTTTCAGAAGCGACCTGGCCACAAATGATAGCTCAATGCAGTGGTTTATCACGTAGATATTTATTGCAGGAAAAAAAACTCGAAACGCATGTTTCTAAATGTAAAGAGAAAATCCGGAGGACCCGGAGAAAAACCCAAGTGATACAAAGTGGAGTTATAATTCCTGTAAATGCGACTGCATCTTAATACATTTGTCCAGAAACAGTGGAAATATTTATTACGTGGCGAGAAAGAGGCCATCTGTCAACAACTGCTATGTGAGTCGATAGAAATGTATAGCATTATAGCAATATAGGATTAAATAATGTAGGCTTATTATGGATAGGCATACCGTGTATTCTCGTGGTAGTGCTTCATGGCGATTATCCATCTTCCAAGGCTGCTTAGCAGCGTTCTGGAAAATATGGACTTCGATATTCGCCCCTAATTAGAACCCATGGTGGCATTTGCTAGTTTGGATTTAAGACCATTAAACTATTGAGATTTGTGTATAGAAGACCTCATTGTGTTAAGAAAATTTCAACCCAAAATGTAAGAGAACACATTCTCAAAATTGTAGGCCGCCAACAGGAAGAAGGATGCTCAATCTATTCTAAAAGCCCGGCGTTCCTTTGCCTATCAACTCAATTATAAGGGCCTTTTAGAAGGCCTGAATCAAAATGTTATAGAACGTGAACCCCCCCCCCCCACCACCAGATGTGGGGGTAAAAAGTTCATCCAACAGGTTTCCAAAATTGTCAACTCCCCCCCACCAAAGAAAGACATTTATTTTGTAGTTATATTTGCCTACACAACCTACATACAATAGTCAATATCTACACACATTGGGGTGGGGGGGGGGGGGGTTGGCGGGGGAAGAAGAGAACGTCAGTGGGGGCCACGGACGAGGCGTGAAGTGCCAAGAAGCCCTCTGCAGAAGCCAGAATAAGGCAGCCGTAGGCCGCCAAAATTCTAGTTATTCAAATTTGGAAAATGACCGAGGGTTTATCGTATAGCTAACCTTGAGCATGAGGTACATTTTGAAAAAACCTTTGTTTGTGACCTCAAGACCTGTATTGAAATGTTGTGTGGTTCATGGTGCTTCTTGTCCATCTGGCCAGCCCAACTGCTTTTAATTTCATACGATTATAAAATAAAGGATGGAAATATACTACATATACTTACTATTCCTCGGCAACAAATGCATCCCAGATGTTCAATGGCTTTACACATATCCAATGTCTTTAGACAAATCACTTTGATTTCCTCTTATCTACACAATATAAAACAAATGTGTTGTGGTGGATAAACAGGGGTGGGCAGTGGTGCATATACGCACATAATAACCAAAAACTTTCATAAATAACACGTTCCTTCGGAGTGGGCAGATAGGAACTTGGTTGGACAGCGCATTCGTGCGATCCGCGTCAAGTGGTGCTGGGTCCACCCGAAGCGCTCTATGAAAAAAATCGAGGGTGTGGCTATGCAGGACAGACAGACAAATACTCCCTGGTGGGCAGTGTGGAACAGCTGTTCCTACCTGTAACACTGCGTTTAAAGGAAATACAGTAATACACCGATTTCCGTCGTCACTTATACCACTACCCGATGTGTCGTCTCAACCCACACATCACTGACAGCTTCTGTCATTTCTCGTATCCGTCACCTCCGCCCTTGCCTCCACCTACCCTGTACACGAACTACTTTGGGTCTCGCATAAAGAAATGCGTAATATCATGGCTGTTTACGAATCTGAAGATGCAACTATTGCGTAAAACAGGGTTAACAACTGACACGATTGCAACATTGCTGGAGAAAAAGAACAGCAGAAATTGTGCTTACAATAATTTACGCAAACAAACGCGTTAATAATTGCCTTTAACACGCGAATAATCGATACGAAATTAAGAGCATTGCTTGACAGACAATAACATCAATAATCGTTTATTATTTCCCTTCTACGTGACTTTACCGATATAACCAAGAAGATGAATCCCTGCAGTCACAAAAGCTTTAAATCGAAATTTTAATCGTGCTGCCATTAAACGATTCATTTCGCTATAAAGTGACCTAAACCGCAGTGACGTGTGGTGAGGTCAATGGCTGGGGAGGCACTGGCTCGTGTCAGAGCCAGATTCACACACTGAGGGGGCGTGGCATCACCGAGAGGGCGTGTCCTCACTGAGGGGGGCGTGTTAGACATGTCCCCCTCAGTGAGGCAGATGTGATAGCTGCCTCCCCTGGTGCTTTTTCATTGCATGTTCATGACGAGACCAGCGAGCCTAAATATCTTTATACACATACGTGAAATAAGTTACCTGGAGTATGGAAGGCTAGGACAAGAAATTAAGGGGTCTACAAACATTACATTGGTGACATACTGAGATAGTGACAGGCACGCGCTTATTGCCCGCGCTCCATCCAGTTACTGAGGGGTTGCGCAATCAGAGGGGAGGCTGAGCTCGTCGCTGCCTCACCTCTCGTCTCTTACTGTATTTGCAGTGGAGCTCCGCAAATTTGGCGATTTTGACTATAAAAATGATTGGAATCGTACAGATATGACATTAATAACACAGATCAGTGGAAAAATCTAAATATTTTATTTTACTATTCTTTTTTGTAACAGCTATTTTCATTGGAATATGACAGGTGAGGCTCTGCGTGAAGCAGGAGCAGCCCCGTGCGGCATGAGCCCCGTGCGGCATGAGCCATCGTGCGGCATGAGCCATCGTGCGGCATGAGCCATCGTGCGGCATGAGCCATCGTGCGGCATGAGCCATCGTGCGGCATGAGCCATCGTGCGGCATGAGCCATCGTGCGGCATGAGCCCCGTGCGGCATGAGCCATCGTGCGGCATGAGCCATCGTGCGGCATGAGGATGAGCCATCGTGCGGCATGAGCCATCGTGCGGCATGAGCCATCGTGCGGCATGAGCCATCGTGCGGCATGAGCCATCGTGCGGCATGAGCCATCGTGCGGCATGAGCCCCGTGCGGCATGAGCCATCGTGCGGCATGAGCCCCGTGCGGCATGAGCCCCGTGCGGCATGAGCCATCGTGCGGCATGAGCCATCGTGCGGCATGAGCCCCGTGCGGCATGAGCCATCGTGCGGCATGAGCCCCGTGCGGCATGAGCCCCGTGCGGCATGAGCCATCGTGCGGCATGAGCCATCGTGCGGCATGAGCCATCGTGCGGCATGAGCCATCGTGCGGCATGAGCCATCGTGCGGCATGAGCATCGTGCGGCATGAGCCATCGTGCGGCATGAGCCATCGTGCGGCATGAGCCCCGTGCGGCATGAGCCATCGTGCGGCATGAGCCATCGTGCGGCATGAGCCCCGTGCGGCATGAGCCATCGTGCGGCATGAGCCATCGTGCGGCATGAGCCCCGTGCGGCATGAGCCATCGTGCATGAGCCCCGTGCGGCATGAGCCATCGTGCGCATGAGCCATCGTGCGGCATGAGCCATCGTGCGGCATGAGCCATCGTGCGGCATGAGCCATCGTGCGGCATGAGCCATCGTGCGGCATGAGCCATCGTGCGGCATGAGCCCCGTGCGGCATGAGCCATCGTGCGGCATGAGCCATCGTGCGGCATGAGCCCCGTGCGGCAGCCAACGGGGCGGAGAGCGACGCCGCCGCGCGCCGCGAGGAACGTCGAAGTGGGGAGCGTCGGTTGACAAAGAAGGCGCCGTGACAGGAGGTGGTGGGTGGGGGATGTGGTGGGGGATGTGGTGGGTGGGAGATGTGGTGGTGGTGGGTGGGTGGGGGACGTGGTGTGTGTGAGGAGCTCAGCGCTGCGCTCAGAGGTCACCCCCCCCCCCTATCTCCGCCGAGCGCGCTCCGGCGTGGGACAAAACGAATGCGTGGTCATCCCTGCTCTCGCTGGACGTTGTTTCGGCGAGGCTGCCCACGGCAGGTTGGCAAAAGCGGCCCCGGAGAGAGGGAGAGAGAGAGAGAATTACGGGAAACACGCGACCGATCCACGCGCGGCTCAACGCGCAGCATGGAGCCCAGAGCCCGGCCCTAGGACGGCGCCTCCAGGTACATCGTGGGCTTTTCCTCCACGCACGCGACGCAGCACCACCGCGCATTGTGTAACAGCACCGCGCATTGTGTGACAGCACTTCACATGGCATGACGGCCACTCCGCTTGCGTTACAGAGCAGCACCTGCTGTGGCGTGCACAGTATTTCGTGTGCCGCGCGTCTCGAAGAAATGCCACTCATTGTGCCAGACACACACACGCGTGTGCCCCCCTTTAACGCTCCGAATTCCACCGATCGTGCAGTGCTCGCTACGGGGTTGTAAATACAGTACTCCAGTATCCATTAACGACGCAGCGTCCACGCTACTAATGCTGTCTTTAAACAAAAGCATTAATGCTGTGCCACATCCGGAGCAACCCGACCGCTGACGGAAATGGCACATGACGTTCGTTCTACAATTACTACGTGACTGCCAAGAAGGAGATACGCGTCGCAGGATATAAAAGCCCCCTCCCCCCGCCACAGTTCAGAGAGGCAGTGGTTCTGCGTGTGCATGAAACGACGGAACGAACTGCCCGTGGAATTAATGAACATTCATTCGTGGAATGAAATCGCAGCTCGGGCAGAGGAAGTGGTGAGCGGGGACGTAGTGCGCTTGCAGCAGCTCTGACCCCCCCGACCAACGCGGACCTACGCTGGGCCGGGTGCTCCATTGGGGTTGTGCGTGTGCGAATGTCACGCATGCATCACGTTCCCGCACCTCTTGTGCGTTTTTTTAAAGAGCAATGTAGTGTTTCATTTAAACGGCTTTCACGACCAATATTATGATTCGAAACTTGTGTCGTTTGGATTAGAAGGTGTCGGTATAATGTCAAATTGTAAAAAAAAACATTTAGCTTGTTTTTCAACATTCAGGGTTTGCTGAAACTGTAAAGCAAATCAATTGGCATAATTTTCTCACCATCAAAACCTGATTTGATTGGCTCTGTTGGGTGGAGGGTCATAATAAAAATATATATATACCAACACAACGTACCCCATAAATTATTAACCGATGTAGTGTTTGTCTTGTTAAGCAGTCCTACATTGATTTTGTAGACTCTATTCAAAAATAAATTCTCCATAAACTACAATTTGGACAATCCACACACTATTCAGAATTATAATTGCATCGTTGAATGATATTGTTATTTTATTTTCAATTGTTTTTACGTCAACAAGACTGCAAAAACGTGTTTTTATCCGACATTGTTATGTACTTTATGAATGCGGCCTACAGGCAGTTCATTTCAAGGCTGTAGCAATGAAGTCAACTTTGGGGGGGACCAAATCTTCCAAGGGGTCTGGGAATCCCCCCCCAGAAAAAATAAATCTGAATTTTAAAACTCATTTCCTGCCATTTCCTACCTAAAATATAAAAAAATTCACTAACACATGGGATGGACTTTTAATTATGTTTTACAATAATGTCTAATAGTGTATTGTATTACATTGTTGTTTTTTCATTTTACCTTTTCATGTTTCAATGTATGTAATGGCAGAGATTAGGGATTAATACAGTACAACCATAACCACAATCATATCAACAGAAATCTATTTTATAGCAATATTTGGGGGGGGGGGACATTGTGAGCTTATTTGAATATTGGGGGGGATGTGTCCCCCCCAATGTATATTATAATTACGGCCTTGGGTCATTTAATATTTTTTATAGGCCTTTTCCTGTACAATTATTTCCCTAAATTGGCAAAAATAGATTTAACAACACACAGAGATGTGCATTTCATGTACAAGAACCTTATGCAGACATAGGGCTCAAAATAACCCCATTTGTGGCCATTTTATAATTTAGACCACAAACAGGCAGCAGTGAAACACAGATGCAACTATTTGTAGACTGGATTTATCCTTGTTAAGAGCCATAAATACAATACAGTCATCAATGTTTTCTGCTGCCATATACCCCTGAGCTCCATACATGCAGATAGATTACCTCTACAATATGGGAACCTGGTCTTGTTTTCCAGCCTGCACTATCATCAGTGATGGGTTTTCTCATTTACATATGGGCGAAAATTATTAAATACTGCCATTATAAAATATACTTATGTAAACATCTCCTGTTTTAGCTCAATTATCCTCCAATACCGGCCAATAACTCCTCACCCGAGATTAGGTACAGGATGGGTAATAAGATATTTTAAAAAGGGAGTTCCTCTTGGATCATGTGAATTAACTGCAAGCCATTGTGAGGGTCTGTCTTGGCTGTCACCTCCAAAAAGGGGCTGTCCATAAATGACGTCACACGATGTTGGACTATTTTTGACCCCCCCCCCCTCTTCGTCACACGGCGTTACAAAAAGTCAGACCCCCCCTAAAATATGACGTCACAAAGCTCTGCCCCCCCTCCCCCAAAAAAATTAAACATGCCTCAAATCGCTTTAAAACTATTGTCATTGTAGTGTATATCTAACGTGGCGCTGCACTCTGATGTTGTAGGAGAAAACATTTATTAAAAAGTCTATTTAATTAAGTAGAACGTGTTGTCCATATTTATTTAAAGTTGCGCATTTTGATGTGACGTCACATTTCTCAACCCCCTCCCCCCCATCGTCACACATCGTCACAAATGTCTGACCCCCCCTCCCTTCCTAGGTGTGTGACGTCATTTATGGATGGCCCCAAAAGGAGAATTTGAGAAACACCCCCAATGTCCTGACCGGATTATTATGCATAAGGGAGGCGTTTCTGGGAAATGCTACTTAACTCAAAATGACTTAAAGTAAACTCTAATTTCCCATAGACATAATGTTAAAATCATTGGTTACATTCCTAGCCAATATTTTTGGAAAACATTTCGTGACTAAATGTCATTAAGTGTACAACATTTCTAATAATTATAAGTGAATATGCATTTTCACTCATAATATAAAAAAAAATTGGATAAAACTGAACAGACATGGTTTAAGAGCTTGCTGATCGATGTCTATTTGAGTGAGCGGTGGTGAAATTACGCAGAAGAAGGGGTAGAATCTGCCTCTTCATCTGATCATGAAGTTGGAGTCACAGGAATGGTCATCAGGGGAAGCTGCCTTTCTTTTGAGCTCTTCTCCGGACCTTATAACTTGATGGCAAAACGTGAAATAATATTTTTTTACAACAACAGTTGGACAGCATTTTCAGTGTTGCTGGGTTCATACCGCAATGTGCTAACCAATGTGCCACTGCTTCAACCCTTTGTCCATGCTTAAAAGTATAATTCAAGTAGAATGTATACCTGATGAACATATCCGTACATTTACATATCAGCAGTCTCGTGATCTGTCGGGCAGGTGTTACTTTGACATTTAATTTTCTGGCAAGGGTGAAACAAATGGATCAACCTACCTTCCAGTGGCAGTACTTTCAGCATGGCAGTGTGCGCCTCCCACCATTCTGCCGAGGTCGTCTGGAAGCAATAGCATCGTTCCCTGTGAGGCCAGATGACGTGTGGATCGCATCCTATCCAAAGTCAGGTGAGATCCAGTTTGTATTATTAAATATGAAAAGAAAGAGGTTTAATACCAATCGACAAATACATACAAATGCATAATAGGCTTCAAAATCACAACATGGAATTGGAAATCTAGTCAAATACATATTTTAATGGCAATAACTCAGATAATATATGCGAGGTTGTGTCATTTGGTCTACATCTTCCGAATTTACTGCTCTTCACATTAATCTTGTAAACTACTTTTACTTATGTGTTTGTTACTTGGCTACTCATGGCCTTTTGCTTCCGCATTTAGGTACAAGTGTGCTGCAAGAGATGGTATTCCTAATATCACAAGGTGTAGACCCTGCTGAAGTAGGGATCATGAATATAGCTGAACAGATGCCAGTGTTGGAACATCCGCAGCCGGGGCTCGACATACTCATGGTACTGCATTCGTCTTCAAGAGACCACCACGATAATTGATACCAAAAAAATGTGATTCTAATGTTTATGTATATTTAAATAAGATGGTCAATTAGAAGATTGTATTTGAAAATTAACACCTTTCCTCATTGTCCTGCATTTGTCCCTGTCATATTCCTCTGTACATCAGCAACTGACGACACCGCGCATTATAAAAACACACCTGCCCTATGGTCTCTTGCCTCGCGATCTGTGGGACAGCAAGGCCAAGGTACCTGTACATACCACTGACAGCACATTCGTGACTAAGGTCAGAGTATGCTGGCGCAATGCACGTCTGACTTTGTTTAAGTAAATATTTCCAAATCATCCAAACATCTGTATTTAATAGTTTAAAAATGTTGGATCTTTATCATATAAAAAATATTGCCAACTATGGGATCTTCTTTTGAATTAGTATAACTGTTCCTTTAAAGGACTCAAGTGTCAATATTATTTTGTTAAATACAAAGGTGTTGAGATTTGGTGATAGTTAACTATGTGTAACAACTTAGGACCTTACCCTGGAACTAAATATAACAGCCTTGAAATTTGTTTTATCCATGTTCATTTGTAGTATGAACAATTGGTGCAGGTGTGTAGCTGTTTCAACATGACAAGGTGGGATCACTGCTGTGGATTACATTTCATTCTGTACATGCATATGCACACCATTGTTTTCAATAAATCATTTATTTTTTATGCTTAGGCAACAAGCGATCTTGGAAAATGTGTGCTGCAAGACTCTCCACCACCCAACATAGCCAAACGAGTGAAATGATTAACGCGCCAATTATTAATGTTGCATGCAGCTCACCGGCAATTTTAACTTTGCCAAGCATGTTCAGGACAGAACCCAGAAAAAAAAACTAGAACCCAGGAAGTCAGAATAACTATGTTACCTGACCCTGCTTCTTAAATAGGTATCATGACATCGCATGAACGACCAATGAGGTATAAACTTAATAATAACCATTACATACATCTAGCAGTTCACCAGAATTGATTCAGCAAGCCTGCTGATGAGACACGGTATTTTTAAGTCGGTCCAGAGTTGGCTTGTCTTGGGTTAATATTGCTGCGGTTATAAATTCCGAGAATTCCATAGGGCATTGGGTTGTGTAAAAAACATTTTTTACGTGGAGAGACATATCTATGAAAAAGATGTATTGTCTGTCTTAATTTTCTTACTTATATTCTCCACAATGAGGCTCATAATAATTTTGTGTAATCTTCAACTCATGTTAAAATCTGCTGTACTTCATTAACAGTGGCAACTCTAGCAAATATATTGGTGATTCCAACAATACAAATGTAGTTTAATTGTTTTAACAGGAACAGGTTCTCTGTCATCTATGTTATTTATTGTGTTGTTATTTGTAATATTACTGGAGGCTCTGCACATTTAGAGTCAATGATACTCAAGGGCTCAGGATTTGACAACAATATTGACCCATTGCATATGTCTTCAGGGAGATTTTTTGTTTTAGATGGAAGCGTCACTGCTTATCTTCTTGGTTCTTTCGGTAAAGTCACGTTGATAGAAAATACAAATCTTATCTTGGTAGACATCAGTGTTTTATTACAATAATGCCGTTATTTTACCTTGTGAATTATGTCCAAACAGGTCATCTTGTTCTAACCCAAAGATAAATGTAAACTAAAACCTAAATGTTGATTTAACCACTGTTTTTTAATCACAGCTGCCGAGCAAAGGCATATAAGATCAAGAGGCCTTCAACAAACAGAGCTATTGAAATTGTAATAGACAAGAGTTCTTGTTTTTTTTACTGATTAGGGTTATACAGGGTGACCCAAAAAAAACGGGCCCCAACTCTAATAGGCCCCGTGTGCACGGGGCCCGTTTTTTTTGGGTCACCCTGTAAAAACGTTGGTTAAAGAGATGCTATAAAATAACTTATCAATGCATATTAAGTGATATGACATAGATCAGAAACACCCATTAAAAAATTGAAAGTGCACAAACATTGAAAAGTCTTCATTGACTCATGATGAGGTGTACACTTGTAAATACTCGGACGGTGCTGTTGCGACAGTTCCAAGTGGGGGATTGGAGTGGGATCAGTTCTAAGTAGAACTAAAATGGCTGCCATGACCCTGCTAGGTGGTGTACATGGCACGGAATCCCAAGGACCTAGCAGTGTCTTATTATCAATTCTTGCGCTCTCTGCGCACTCCTGGTTTCCGCGGCTCCTTCCCCGAGTTTTGTCGGCGTTTCTTGGAGAACAGACGTGAGTACCACACCTTCACATTCTGGGCAGTCTTCGACTTACGAACGTAATTAATTCCTAAGACATGTTCGTTAGTTGAACTGTTGGTAAGTCGGAACACAATAATGTACTGTATTTAAATGGCCATATGGTCAGTGTTATGAAATGTATTACGGTTCAACAAGAAAATTAAGCATTGTTAAACGCATAAAAAAGAAAAAATATTGTAGATCTGCATGTAACACTGTAAACAATATTGTACAGTAAGTAAAACATAAAATAAAGTAACATAATTAGAACAAAAAATCAGTTTTATTTTCACTTACCTTAAGTACTGATGCTGGCTTGCTTGTCAGTAGTCTGCGGCAAGGTAAGGTAAAACAACGAGCCTACCTTTACCCTACCTTTTACCTGACCACAATACAATCACTCTACCCTTACCGTTTACCCTTTAGCAAGGTAAGGTTAAAGGTAAAAGTTAAAAAACAACGAGCCTACCTTTACCCTTACCCCATGCAAATTACCTGATTATAGGGTAATTACTGGGGTACTACACATGAAAAATGTTTATAACAGGTAAATGGGAGGTAGAGTGCTTTATTCTATAGAATATTCTCGAATCGGGCGTTGAGGCTGTCTACGACACCGTCCTCCATAACCTCTTCGTCTCAGTCGTCTTGGTCGATGACGATCTCATCAACAACCTGATCAAGTTCATCATTGCCGTCGTCCTCGGACGAACGACGGGCAATAATATCCTGCGCCGCTCCTGCCCAGTTAGACGGGATCTTCAGGCAGCCGGCCGCGATCCACGAGCGCAAGCACATGGACTGGATGAAGAGCATTGACGACAGCGACTGGCGAACGCATGTGAACTCCTTCATCCCCATCGTGATCAAGGACTCAACGATCGCTCTAAGAGTGGCTTCACCGCGATTTCAATGATGGATCAGGTGCTCCATCGTCACCGGCACGAGATCCAATGTCGACTTGCGGTCCGCCGACAACGAGGGCATGACCTGGCGCGGCATTCGCAGGAATGCTGTCATGCCCTCGATGTTTGCCCAATGCAGTTCAGAGAAAGTGCCAACGCCGATCACAACCTTGGAGGCGCGCCATGATAATGTACAATGGGACGCGCTTATTGATAGCATCGTCGCCCATGTCAAACGTCGAATTCCACCTGGTCGGCGAGTCCTGGTGCATTGAATACTTGCTGACGAGCTTGGTGATCTCAGCAAATATGGTGGCAAGCCTGCAACTGCTCATATCCAGTGTCCGCGTTGACCAGGGCGAACAACGGCTTGACAGCACTGATCGCATCGGAGCCATTGTCGCTGGTGACAGCGAGCAGCTTGGTCGAGACATTGTGCCCGAGGCTTTGGAGGTGCTCAAACAGAGCGGTGCCAATGTGCTTGCCGACACCCCTTCCTGGACTGCACATCGATGGATTTCTACTCACCAGATTTGGTGTCGATCCAGTGTACTGTGACCATCCAAAATCCCTTCAGGTTTGCGGTTCAACCACCCGTCGATGGCGAGCGAGATGGCGACATCCAGGTTGAAAAAGAATGCCCCGACGATGGGCAGCATGATGGCGTGAAGCTCGACAATCCTGCGAATGACGGTGTGGGTTGACGGGCCCTGGTATCCCTGCGTCAATGTATGGACCAAGGTATTGAACTTGTTGCTGTCGGCAGCTTGCAAAAATATTGCGTCTTGGATAACAAAATCAACCACCGCGTTCTCAAACTTTACCAGGAGGCGATCCCGAACTTCTGGCCGGCTCAGCATTTGCTGCATTAGGCGGCTCGCCGACGCCGACTGCCTGGGGCAAGCACGTTGTGCTTCTTGAGGTGGGATTTTCACCCCGACGCGTTCGTGTGGGAGGAAAATCACTTGCAGCAGTGCACGCACTTCCGCTTTCCTTGCTGCACATGGGGATCACCCTCCATCCAATCGTGCGTGTGCTCCCACGGGAATGCATGCCGCTGCCTCTTTCGATTGCTGTTCGCAGCGACCCCGGAAATGCCATTGCTGGCATCCTCGACCTCATCTTCTACCTCAAGAACGTGGTCCGTCTCCATCTGGTCCGACATCAATGATTCCAATTTCAAATGGAGGCCACGGACTGCGCCACGGAGCTATTAGCGAGCAGTAAACAGGGTATTCGGCGCTACCTTTACCCTACCGGGTAATTCTTCCGTGCTACCTTTACCCTACCCTTTACGCTTTTACCTGGTAAAAGGGGTCAATTACCTTACCTTGCCGAGGCCTACTTGTCAGAAGGGGCACAATGAGTAACCACAATTGCGCACACACACACACTGGGGGCACTCATGCGCGTACAACAGCAACAACTGCCATTCGCTACTAAGTGGCGGTGATGTCACCACACACTTGTGCCATGCTATGTGCTTATTGAGGCCACGTGAAGTGTCGAACGCCTGCTGGCTGGAGATCATGGGGCAGAACTCCTATAAAGGGGGACATCCTTGCAAACCTGTAAAACTAGTCCTGTGGTTTCAGCAGGGGTAATGTCATGTCAGGCAGCCTATACACGATCACCACACCACCAAACAAAGACAAAGATCCCCGGTATAGCCTAAACAAGTGCTGCTAGCGAGCACCTATGAAGGCCGGAACATTACATGAGGTGTGGCCATCACCACGCCCAACCGCCTTTGTCTCCCTAGTGGCAATGTTTACACACTGCATCAGGTACTAATTTGAGACTGAGCCAACCTAGGGGATGCCCGGGACTGGTTCAAATCATCGTCACTGGTGTTGACGTGAGCAGAAATCAATCTCGGGTGGCCAGGTTCATAGCGCAGCACGCTAACTGCTACGGTACAGCTCCCCACATACTTTCACACACGCACAAACACTCACTCCCCATGCAAGGCCGACTCATTACATCTCGTGGAGGATTGCTCCGCTGAATAAAATAGTTTCCCGGTTCTGTTTGCAAGTGCGAGTTCTTGTTTGAAGTCAATGTAAAAAAAAAATTGATGGAAGCTGATTCGTAAGTGCGGGTGTTCATAAGTCGGGTGTTTGTAAGTCGAGGGCTGCCTGTGTCCGTAAAATTCACCATGCGATATTTCACCATAATCTCAGTGAGCACAAAAAATATTTAATATGATATTAACATTGGGATGGAGTAAATTCCATACATTGGTTGCATGCAAATATACCAAACCTTTGCCTTTCCTCCCAGTGGCATATGGCTCATGGTTTGACCATGTGCAGGAATTTTGGAATCACCGTAATGATGAACAAATTCTATTTCTCAAGTATGAAGACTTACATCAAGTAAGTACATTCACATGTACATTCAGTCAGCATATAATCACATTGGCATTTTTGTATGTTTTCAGATGCACACCTATGTGACCCCATATTGTGAACCCTTTTCTTTTGCAGAACCTGCCTAAAGTGTCAGAGCAGTTACAGGCATTCTTAAGCATAAAACAGGAAACGGCTCGTTCCCAGGACGTGGTGCAACATTGCTCTCAGCTTGTGGATGCAAGCATGCAGCCACATGCCCGTGGTAATCACACACAAGATACATATGAAGATAGTGCAATCACGAACATCTTATGAATTGAAATAACTTGACAAATGTAACTAAATCAATGACATGGTTTAGAATAATAGCCATGAACACAAAATAGAACATAACTGAAAACTGCACGACGAAACATGGAGAGATACATGTTAGGAATTACAATGAGATAAAGAGGAACATCTGGATTAGGGAACACACAAAGATTAATGATAGCATTCAAACTGTTAAGTATAGGAAGTCCGCGTGGGTAGGACGTATCCTCGAAGGGATGATGTAATTTGATCAATATTAATCACTTAGTGGCAGCCAAGGAATGGAAGGCATTTCAGAAGAGGTCCACGAAGTTGATGAAGTGATAAAATGACCTCATCTGCAGGTTCTACGTGGCTTATTATATTGCAGGATCATGATATATGGTGATGGCTTGGGGAGCTCTTCATCTGGCAGTGGATTGACATTGGCTGATGGTGATTTTATATCAGCAAAAAATGCCAAAAAATATAATTTAGAAATAATACAAACCATGTGGTAAACAATTCCTGCAAAGGTTTCATCTACCTACTATATAATAACATTTGCAATCGGTTATACCCCTTTTTAACAATAAGCATATCCAAATCTTTGATTCGAAAACCTGTAATTATATTCTCAATTTAAACATTCAAACTCTTTCCATTGCTCCAAAAGTATAAAACTGTCTCTCAATTCCATTCTGTACTATCCTCTAACTCTCATCTCCAGGTCGAGTTGGCATCTGGAAGGATTCACTATCTGTGGAAGAGAGTGAACACTTTGACGTGGCCTATGGTGAAAGGCTCGCCCAGATTGGTCTACAGTTTGAATATCAACTCTTATGATGAAAAACAACTCGTGTACAGAGATAGAATGGTGGTTTATATGCATCATTATAAGGCAGTACAAATAAAACATCTGTATAATAGAAGTAATACATGTCTGCATAATAGGGTTGACACGTGCAATGTTGGAAGTATGGCTACCAGTGGTTCAAATTAGTAATATTTTGACCTGTTATTTTTTGCCCAACTGTATAATCGTGGCATCACACACAAAGTATGTTCTGTTTCATAATTGTCCTCGGTTATAGACTTTAAAATCATTATTCCAATTGAAGACATGGTTCATAATAATCAACGAAGCATAACATTTGACAACACAGTCAACCGTTAACATTTGTGGGGGATACGTTCCTGGAGAGCAGCTCAAATATTATATCTGCGAATATTAATAATTATATAATCCAAAGTATAATGCACATTCAATCCTAGGATCACAATGCATGAAAAGCAGGAAACAAAAAACTGAACCAGGGCAGCAGGCCAAACTAAAGAGGTGGCCTTCCCTCTTTAGAGATGGGTTTTCAAATATTTCTACCGACTCTGATTTCCTGATTTCAAGTGGCAAGGCGTCCCATAGCTTGGGTTCCACGCTAGAAAAAGCCCGATCACCAAAAGAGCACAACCTAGACCTGGGAGTGCTGAGCAGTTGGAGATCAGAAGATGGTATGGACTTGATGGAATATATAAATGTATTAGTTCCTGCAAGTAATGTGGGGTGAGCCCTTTTAAAGCTGTATTGGTTAATAGCAGTATCTTAAAATCCACTCGGAATTTGACCGGTAGCCAATAGAGAGATAGAACTGGCGTATCTTTATACGTGACTTTACCGAAAGAACAAAATAATAATTCCTGCATGTCACGAAAGCTCCAAAATTAATATTGGCGTAATGTGCTCACAGAATGGTGTACGTGTAATAATGAAAGTTTTTGGAGCAAATAGCATGTGTCTATGTTGTGTCTCTCTCTGCATGTCTCTGTGTTGTCTCTCTCTGCTTGTGTGTCTGTCTGTGTGTCTCCGTGTCTGTGTTTTGTCTCTCTCTCTCAAATTTAGTTCTACCTAATGACGACTGCTTGTGTTGCAATCGAAACGTATTTTATTATTTAATCTAATTTCGTTCTACGTGACTTTACCATATAAGTTATTTTAAAACATTACCTGTATGTACTGTATTGATTAATACATATATTTAATTGTTGTGTTATATAACTTTTTATAATGATGAACATGAACATTTAAAAGTGCAAATATCAGTGAATACATATTATACAGTGCTTTCACGCTCTCACAATCTACGCTGCTCCCATGCTTCACGACTTCTTGCTGGGTATTCACGTGCTACGGCCATGAATATTTCAAATACAAACCCGCGAATATCAAATAGCATTACTATCAATTTATTGCAAAACCGAAATTATAAACCCACGAATATTAAAGGTGTACCGTATATTAAGTATTTGATGAATGTGTATCATGAGGCTCTACCTTGTTCATAGCACTAAGATGCCATGCCTTAAATTCTGATTTAAAATTCTTGGTTTCCAGATAAAATAAAAATGCGATCGTCTCAGTACCTATCGAAGAAAAGAAACAAAGCAAATGTCACATCCTTTGGAAAACCTGGTACTCATGGAAATGTAGATTTTCTTCCATTGACTCAACGCAATCAATGGAGAAGCATGCCAAACACAATGATCATTTAAAGATAGAGAACGTGTTTACGTGTATTTTGTTACACGTTCAAAGTAATTGTTCAAAGTTAATCTTATGCTGGTGGAAACACGTCAATATAGAAAAAGTCATTGTCTACGTACCCATAAATGTAGTCAGCCATTTTTATTTGAAGTACTTTCAATGGGAAATTACATAGTTTTAGATGTATTTACAACACTGCAATTAACCAGCAATTAAACTACAGGCGTCCTGCGAATTTTCAGTTACGCGGTTAATCTTCTAGGGACATAATTCACACTTACGCTATGCGTTTCACAGTTCTGCGGTCAAAAATATATGTTCAATAATAAAAAGTCTACGATTAAACAAATATTTCTGATAGCGTCACCGCTGCTGGGCATACCCATCTTAGATCTCTGCATTTGTTTAACAGGGAAGTTATGTTTATAAATTAAAAGTTACTTATCTGTATAAACTCATTACAGGATCATATTTTAGGTTTAAAATGTCATTTGTGGCAAAAAATATCGGGAAACGTATCCTCACTATTGTAATTGATTCCTATAGGAAAAATGGATACGTATAACGTCGTTTTGTTTAAGACCACATTCACAACGTTAAACGATGACTTACTGTACTTCGAATTCAAATTAATGTATGTTCAACTTATTTCAACATAGATTATTTTACTAGCCAGACGATCTAATTACCATGGCCCTGATATCGTATGTAGATCACTCGGATTCCTCCAGTATTGATAGATATTCTGATTCTGTACGAGTTGTGAGCGTAACAATGCAACGGTGACATGTTTGATAAGTCCGGGCTGATATGTGTTCAAGGTTGGTGAATGAGCTGATTTGTGTATACTCTATTATGTAAGCTGCTGCTCCATGTCAGAGATTAAAGCTTACATTTGTAATCAATTGTATAAGTAACCTTATGTATTCAAAAAATTAAGCATTAAAAGTACCTGAATATTTAAGTGGATAACTGAATACAAAAAGGTCTCACATCGAAATGCATGAAATTTTGTCTAGAGGCTGTGATATCACATTTGCAGTTTGTGTAGATTTTGCATAGACATTTTTTTAAACACGTCATCTTATTTCAACATCCAGTTTCAAAATAAACAATTAGGTTACGTGGATAGTAAGCAATGTGGAGGAGGTTTAGGGGTGATGGGGGATTCTTTTTTTTGTATTATTGCCTTACAACTCTGAGCACTAATGTTTTAATTGATTTATGAATTCAGTTTTTAAATGTCCGTTTGTTGGGTTTTATGAAGGTTGTTAACATCCTTATTGTTGCATTATCTTCAACAGTCTTGCATTTCGTCGTCATTTTGCCATCATATTCCGCGACTTGTCCATAGCATTTTAGATTCTCGATGAAGCTGTAATGTTGCGAAGGCTTAAAATACCAAATTTTTTTGGATTGTGCAATCAACTGGATTTTCAACTCTTTATCTGATCGATTTCAAATGATCTCCGTGAATAGTACATCCTCTGACAGGACCCGCATTCCTAAGGGGCTCTGCTTTGACCAGATCCTGTTGTCCTCTCTGTACGTCAACAGTCGATGGATCTCTAATCTGCACTCTGACATGAACCTTTTTAAATCCTTTATATTAAGTTCGCATGCTTGCTTGCTTGCGTGTTTGCTTGCTTGCTTACGACCGTGCAAATCTTTCGGTCGTTTTTTAACCCACTTCCCGTGATCCAATCGAGCTGACATTTTGCACACAGACTCATTGTGCGAGACAATTAATGTTCGTGAAATTTTTTTTCCAAAATTTTACACTGTTTAGGGAAAACAAATTAAATATTTAATGACCAATTGCTTAATACTGGCAGACAATCATCTGACCCATAGGTGGCAGCCATCTCAAGCCAGAGGACGAGGACACTAGCCGCCACGCATATAAAGGATTTAGAGTGAAAAACTTTGTTTTTACGGGTTATACTTATTACTGATGACACAGCCCTGAGGAAATTCAACGAAATTCCTTGGAGGAGTTACCATCAGCATCTACAACAGGGCTTCCATAATGTTAAGTGTAATGCCATACAACTTAAGTATTCAAGCGTTGCTGCTTCACGTTTCTGGATTACACTTATCCGCTCATCTACTCATCTCCCCCTCTTTATTTCCCAGATAACTTTTTTTGGCACATTTTTCTCCAGCGTGTATGCACTATCTTTTTAGATTCGCGTATATTTATGGCACTCTTAGACGAAAATATAGAGCTGACTTGCACCTGTATCGAACTTTTTTCTGGCGCATTTTGCTTTCATTACATTAGGAGTTTTATTTGTTATTCACTTGTTTTGTTGACGATTGTTAAATACCCTGTTTGTTAGCTTTGCTGTGTTGATGTGCTCACACACCACGGATCTCCCTTGGGAAATAGCCGGGAAACTGTCTAAACGAGATCGTTCGTGCAACAAATAAACATACGTGTGAAGGATGTTTGAACTTAACAAGATGGCCGCCTGGTCTGCACAATCAGTTTTCACGTCATATGCACTGGTGAACTTAACAAGATGGCAACCTAGTCTGCACATTTGATTCCGTTTTCACGGCATATGCACTGGTGAACTTAACAAGATGGCAACCTGGTCTAAACATTGCATTCCGTTTTCATGTCATGTGCACTGATGAGCTTATCAACATGGCCGCCTGGTCTGCAGATTACATCAAATTCTCAAGTCATGTACACAGGTGAACTTAACAAGATGGCAACCTGGTCTAAACTTTGCTTTCAATTTCACGTCATGTGCATTGGTGAACTTAACAACATGGCCGCCTGGTCTGCAGATTACATCAAATTCTCACGTCATGTACACAGGTGAACTTAACAAGATGGCAACCGGGTATAAACATTGCGTTCAGTTTCACGTCATGTAAACTGGTGAACTTAACAAGATGGAAACCTGGTATAAACATTGCGTTCATTTTCACGTCATGTACACTGGTGAACTTAACAAGATGGCCGCCTGGTATAAACATTGCGTTCAGTTTCACGTCATGTACACTGGTGAACTTAACAAGATGGCAACCTGGTATAAACATTGCGTTCAGTTTCACGTCATGGACACAGGTGAACTTAACAAGATGGCAACCTGGTATAAACATTGCGTTCATTTTCACGTCATGTACACTGGTGAACTTAACAAGATGGCCGCCTGGTATAAACATTGCGTTCAGTTTCACGTCATGTACACTGGTGAACTTAACAAGATGGCAACCTGGTATAAACATTGCGTTCAGTTTCACGTCATGGACACAGGTGAACTTAACAAGATGGCAACCTGGTATAAACATTGCGTTCAGTTTCACGTCACGGACACAGGTGAACTTAACAAGATGGCAACCTGGTATAAACATTGCGTTCAGTTTCACGTCATGTACACAGGTGAACTTAACAAGATGGCAACCTGGTATAAACATTGCGTTCAGTTTCACGTCATGTACACTGGTGAACTTAACAAGATGGCAACCGGGTATAAACATTGCGTTCAGTTTCACGTCATGTACACTGGTGAACTTAACAAGATGGCAACCGGGTATAAACATTGCGTTCAGTTTCACGTCATGGACACAGGTGAACTTAACAAGATGGCAACCTGGTATAAACATTGCATTCAGTTTCACGTCACGGACACAGGTGAACTTAACAAGATGGCAACCTGGTATAAACATTGCGTTCAGTTTCACGTCATGTACACTGGTGAACTTAACAAGATGGCAACCTGGTATAAAGATTGCGTTCAGTTTCACGTCATGTACACTGGTGAACTTAACAAGATGGCAACCGGGTATAAACATTGCGTTCAATTTCACGTCATGTGCCCACGGGGTCGAGGAGGCCGCCACCGCCGCCAGCAAGAGACGTCATGTCCGCTGAGTGCTTGGGCACGGATCCCGCTGTAGTCACCGCTGTAGTCACCGCGTAGTTTATTTCGCGCGGGGTTAGACGTGGAACGAGTCGTGGTCACGCCGTTTCGTGCTTGTCGGCGCTTACGAGGACGAGACGCATCGTGACCGCGGCGCCGCGCGGCCTTGTCACGGGTCCCGCTGCACAGAAGGCCTCGGGTACGATACACACTCAAACACACACACGATGTGCCCCATGTGCAAGCCCTTTTGTCGCTCCGCAGCTGGATGGAGGCCTCTTGATATGACCGCGATAAAACGGCACCACGAGAGATACAAAGTCGCTGTCGAATGTACTGGTTGAGAAAAAGCGAACGGACGTTGTTGTTGTTGTTAATCTTGATCGGACCTTGGCTGCGGTGATCGTGTCGATCGCTCGTGTAAAACGTGACATTCACGGAATGCCTTTCAAATGCGGCGTTATCCCAGAGATGTGTTGCCCATCATCATTGCTGGAGCCCCTCCGATGTTTGTGCTTCGTGCCCGAGCGGACGGCCCCGTCTGTACGCGAATTACATTCAGAGAGTCCCCGACTTACGATATTTCGAACTTACGATCGATGCATGTGAAAAGTTTTTTTTTAATCGCAGATAAGATTGTTTCCTGAAATAAATTTCTATTAAATTGCAGTTCATATAGGTAGGCTAAGAATTTACCTTGTTTTTTTTTACTTTACATTTTACTGTGCAATACAGTATTGTAATTAATAAATACACACAGTATATAGTTTATACTACGGTACTGTAAATTTGCTTTGTTTTGCTAAATTATTACCATTCTTTAAGACTCCTGGCTAGGCTAGGCCATCTTCGACTTACGATATTTTTGACTTACGATGATGGGGTCGTCGTAACACATCTCCATCGTAAGTAGAGGACGACCTGTGTTTACACGGCTGGAGTGTGAAGGTCTCCGCAGCTGTCGCCAACTTCTCGAGGTCACGCCAACTTCTCGAGGTCACGCCAACTTCTCGAGGTCACGCCAACTTCTCGAGGTCACGCCAACTTCTCGAGGTCACGCCAACTTCTCGAGGTCACGCCAACTTCTCGAGGTCACGCCAACTTCTCGAGGTCACGCCAACTTCTCGAGGTCACGCCAACTTCTCGAGGTCACGCCAACCTCTGGAGGTCACGCCAACTTCTCGAGGTCACGCCAACTTCTCGAGGTCACGCCAACCTCTGGAGGTCACGCCAACTTCTCGAGGTCACGCCGTGCACGGCACCATCTGGTTGGTGTCCTGATCGCCGCCTTTACGCGGTGGACGAAGCCCCACACGGGCGCGCGTCTTCCCCTTTCACTGCTCTCACAAAGCAAACGCCGACATTCAATAGGTTTAGAATATAATCAAGGAACAGACAAACATCGTGCATGTGCTCATGGCTCCTGTAAAGCTTTCCAGCTTGAGAGACGGAGGCACACGTGGATCTTACAGCAGGAGACATGCATACCTAAATTACTCTGAAAGATAAAAAGGAAACATTTTCAGGCAACAAACACAAATCATACATTGTATTGGTCTTAATCCATGCAATGGTTAGGTCACTGATTGAAATCATGATGATGGATAGTTACTTGGGTCCACACCTCTCGGATCCCCACCCCACTCCATTGAATTATAATTGAATTTCAGCCAAGGAATGTAACGCATTTAAGAAGATGTCCACCAAGGAGATGGAGCAATGAAATCAACTCATGTGCAGGTGCTGAATGGATTATGTCCAAGATTGTGAGAGGTGGTGGCAGCTTAGGAAGGCCTTCATCCAGATGTGCATTGGTCATTCCATGATGGTTATGATATCTTTACGAGAGTTATTGTGACCTCAGAAAGCCAATGCATTGCGACTTTTATACTTCGTTGAAAAGTGTTACATTGTATTATACATTTGAATCATATAATATTGTATATGTCGGTGGTGGACGATGGTGTTTATATATTTAAAAAATTGTTTATCAAAGCTGATGTGCCAAAATGTTATTTCATGAGCTAGCAATTCACTGGTGATTGAAGAGCTCCCATGCAGTCACCATCTCTCAGAATCTTTTGACGCCACAATTTATATAGTACCTGTGCATGAGCTGACTTACCTTTGATGGCTGTCATCATGAACTTGACTCCATACCCAGTACGCCAGAACTAAGAACACATGCTCTGGGTTACCTGGCACTTCTGGGGACCCGCATCAGTATTTCATTTAATATTGTTGAGAAGGTTAAACTGCTTCTGATTAACACATCTGGAAAGACAATAGACAGATAGGCTTTTATTATAATGTACTTTTAGTTCAACATTCTCCATTGATTGTAACACCACTCGCTCCTTTTTGAAGCCACTGGCTCTTCATTGACCTTTTGCATATCTTGTGTCATGTTTGCTTGTCAATTTGTTGCAGTTGGGTAGCTGCTGGGAGTCATTGAAAGCTGTTGGAAGCATGTCGCATTCACAGGCGATTCGCATCATTTACATCACCGTGGCCCAAGTGACAGGAAAAAACACAAACCAAGGTTTGGTCTTGAATCAATCTTCATTGTTATTACAAATGTGACATTTTATGTTGTTTGTGGAAAATACAAGTTCTATTTAATGTTTTTAAGTACTGTATGTATTCGTAACTTGCATAAACAGGGGAGATGATGTGGTGGTGAAATGCATTATGTAAAATAGTACATTTTACGTAAATCGTAATGTGCATAATGCACCATGGGTGGTGGATTATACAGTTAAATTAAATAATCCAGCAGGAATATCAATATATTCTGATTCAATCGCAATCGTAATTGGCAAAAGTGCATTATTCATCATTCGGAATGGGCTGGTTTAATAATTCCTTTTTTGTTATCAAATTGGATTATTGCCAATACATTGGGAAAATAATCTTACCCGTTCTATGCAGATACATATTTCATAGGATCCATATCTCAGTAACAATATATTGTCACAGTATAATGTAAAATAAAAAAGAATGTTCCAATGAAATGTTTACTTTTTTACGAATGATTAACATCATCTTAACAATTACTGACAATTTGATTATATTAATTACCATTATGTGATCATATTCATTAAATCAAACGTTATTATTAATCTGTTTTTGCAATTATCAGTAATATTGTATTTAATTTTATTTATCACAGCAACATGACGAATGTGACTTTTTTGATACCGTGCCCTTTTACGCAAGGGCATGTCAAGAGTCATTCACATCATACCTCAATCTTGATTTGAAGCTTTCGTGACTGCAGGAATCCATACTCATTGGTTATTTCGGTAAAGTCACGTAGATATATATATATACCTACGTGACTTTACCGAAAGAACCAAAGAGTATCATACCTCAATTTGAACATTTGAAGGGGCACCCTCAGTGGCAGCTGCCCCTCTGCGCACAAAGTGACTCGGCGCCTCGCCTGCAACTGGGCATTAGACTGCCAGTAGGGGGCGATGATTGCTATGTATACAGGAATCCTTCACTATACGTAAGGGATGTGTTCCCGGAAAATGCTACTCAAGTCGAAATGACCTAAAGCGAACTCTAATTTCCCACAGGCATAATGTAAACAATCAGGGGTTTTGTTCCTAGCTGACATATCTGAAAAAAATGCGTGACTCAATATTATGATGTGTACAAACATGCTTATGATTATAGGTTAGGAAATACAAATGATTAGGTAAATCTTACCAAAGATGGTTGAAGCGATATGCTGATTTTGATCTTCAATCCACGCACTTAAAATGTATTTCCAAATTTTCTAGAATTCCACAACTGATTTATTTTAGTGGCAATTAAAAGTGCCACATTTTGAGCACGTTCAAAAATGTTTCCTGCATTAACTCGAATAGTTCTCACCGAAGTTGTGGGTAGGCCAAGAATTTTGGAAATATCGACTGCCTTTTCACGTGTTTCAAAACGCTTACTGTGTGTTTTACACTCTATTTAAGCCCTTTGTACTTATATTTGAATGCTATATTTCTAGCTAACACGTGCACAATCACCACAAGAAACGGCCGGGCTGGCCGAAGGAGGCTAAGCATGTATTTATGTACAGTATGGTATTACATCACAAAATAGTCAATTTTCACCTTGTGCGATCTTAGTAGAAAAAATACGAAAAATGTTGTGCAATTTTTTTAAAGGAACGATTTGCAAAACATTACACTTATTAGGAAATATGTTCCTTAATTAATCAGGAATGTTTATGCAAAACATCGCATAATGCGGCAACTTATATTGGGAGAGTCCTGTTATCGCAATTGAGTAATTTACGAGTCATTTTTCAATTGGTAAAATTTGCGCCCTGATACCAGCATCTTTCAAGAAAGATTAGATACTCTTGACTATCTTCAACAGTCTTGAATCTTGTCATCGTGTCATCCTATTCCTTGACTTGTCTAATACAATTTACACTGTGGACCACTCTGGAATGCTGCAAAGGCTAAATGCCTACATTTTCATATTGTGCAATCAACTGGATTTGCAACTGCTTATCTACTAGTTTCAAATTATTTCTGTCAATAATACATCATCTGACAGGACCCCCATTACTAAAGTAATTTCTCAGGGCTCTATCCTGTTTTCTGTGCTCTTGAATAACCTAGGCATCTTTAACCTCCACTTTTTCATCTGCACTTTTTTGCTAATGACCTCTGGAACTTCCATGGAGGAGTTACAACAGCATCTGCAACAGGACTTCGATGATCTTAAAACTTAAATGTATTGCCATAAAACTGGTCAATTCCTAAAAATACCAGGTTTACGTCATTTTTGGGTTGCCCTCAGCCTGTCTCACCACCGATGTATATTATGCTTCTGAACTCGCACCTTATTTATCAGGTTCACAACTTGAAATACCTCGGCATTGTCCTTGACTTGAACTTGTCTTTCAAGACCCACATTGACCACTTGGCCAAAAAGATATTCTTTTACAGAAACAAATGCTGTATTCCACCTTGACTCGATATAAATATATAGTTAATGCCACCGTCTTCCCATATTTTATGATGGTGGCACCATTTACTGCCAAACTTTTGAATCTACCTTCAAATATATCGTTCTATTATACCCATCGGTTCTCCGTATTTCCTTTTATGCCCCTATATAATTCATTATTGCAACCTGCATATTATCTCAAATCTTTTCCCCAGGATATCTGGAGAGACCATCACAAATCTGCCAATTACCTAAAAGACCACGAAGTTCATCTTACTCTCTTCTGTAGCCTCAGAAGTGTCCCCTTATTCCTCCAAAACATTTCTAAACTTTTGTGAAAAGCCTTTCTGTGTTGCTGCCCAAAGCTTCTGGAATACCCTTGTTGCTCATCTTGAGCTTGGTTTCCCTCCCTTGACTCACCCAATTTATTTCCCTATTATACTAAGACAGAGCATACTTTGACCTTTATCTAGCTTTTCATGGCACCTCTTGCTCATCATATTTGCACATGTTTTTTCATTTAGGACCATTAAATACATTGTTAGTTGTGAAATATTGATGTTTTTGCCTTTGTTTTGTTGCTGTGCTCACGCAACATAGATCACCGTTGTAAAAGAGCCGGGCAACTGGCTAAACAGGATCATCCGTTTTACAATATAAATTCTAACTCATTCTTGTGAATGACATCAGGGGATCTTTAACATCCACTAAAGCAGACGGCGTGTATTATTGTTATTACACACGTGGTAAAAACCATGACTGCAAGAAACAGCAAACTGCATTACCACTCAAAATACGTGTAGATGAGACAGAAAAAAGTGATGGGAGATGTTATACACAAGGGTCAATCCATGGAAGATAAAAATGGCCTTGTAAGTGACATGTCTTTGATTTTCCTGTAACTTTGTTCGTAAGCAGCTTGATATATATATGGTGGTTTCTGAAATTGTATCACTACCCATGATCCTACAATGAAATGTACAAGCAATAGAGGAGTTGGAAGTTTTAGTGACTGGTGTTATTTTTGCAGGCATTTATAGGAATATTGCCAATCAGAACGTCTAGAGATATAAAAATTAGTATAATAGTATATTTTCTGATGCAAATTCTAAATATACAAACCAAAATAATATATAGGGATTTTTTTTAATGTATAATTGTGGGATCATGGAATCATTTAATTTGACAAACATTAACATTTTATGTTTTTCAAAGTCAAAGTTTAGGCCTTTACTTTGCACCACACTAAAGGCAGAAAATAATTAAATTGATGTTTTGCCAACATTTATTTTCATGAAAGGTTTTTTCTTAAAATAATAATTTTTTGATTGAGTTCCTTTATATTGTCTGTAATCCACGACCAGTAGCAATTATTCTCGCATTCACTTCCCCTGTATTCACGTGGCATAACAGACATAAATATGGAGCAGTAATTAGAATTGCAAATTTAAGGATGATCTCTCCAATAAGATATGACATGTCTGGTGTTTGGATGTGCTTATAAAATTAGCGATTCAAAAACAAGACATTCGCAATTGTAGCATTTTCGAAATGATTTTCTGTACAGTATTTAGCCTGTTTTTAAATAGAAGAAACATTAAATTTACTTCTAGATTTGAAGCTTTCGTGACTGCAATGATTCATATTCTTAGGTTTTTTCGGTAACGTCACGTAGGTAAAACATCAAAATTATTTTATTTTATTTTCATTAATTTTGATGTTTTACCTACGTGACTTTACTGAAAAAAACCTAAGAATATTTAATTTACTATACTATAAACTACTAAAACTATTATTTTACCAGGTAAGGCCCACTAAGCTATATAGCTTTTTCAGAAGTGACCTGGACACAAATGATAGCTTCACAAAGTGACTTGTGTGGAAAGTTACGGCAGCCAAATACTCTTAAAGCACGTTTCTAAATATGTTGGGAAAAACCGGAGGACCTGGAGAAAAATCCACGCGATCACGGGGAGAACATTCAAACTCCTAATATACAAGCTTAAGGGTTGAGATCGAACTCACAACCTGTATACCGGGCGAGGTAGTTAACAGCTCGCCACCATGTCATCCCAAAGACAATTTTTGTTGTCACAGCAAAAATGTCTTTCATTGTCTGGTCGCTCGGCTAGTACTTTTATCCTGAAGCTGTTACTAATGTTGTTGTTGAGCAGAGCACATGAAGTTTTGTTACAGAGCTGATGCAGTTTTTTGGTGGCTAATCGAAGGCATTTGCTGGTCCACCGAGATGCATGCATGTGACGTTGTAGTCATCATACTCATCATCGTGCTCCATAATTGTTTCCACATAGCACTTCCGCTCGTATGCTGTGAAGTCTTGTGAATTAAAATTAAGACTTGAACCTTGACTTGTAACAAAATGTGTTTCAATGTTTCCCAAATGTAATAACATCTAATTAGAAAAAAACTGTTCTGAATATTTTACTTTGGTATTTGGATTCTGAATCTGGCCAGTGTAGGACAATTTAATGTATTTTTTTGTATAAAGATTGATTTTAAATGATAATGTGGCAGAGAATAAATTGAGCTCGGGCATAATTTATATCTTTCATAATCCTAAATGAGTAACTGGTTTTATAAGAAATATGAAAAACAAGTAATGTTAAGACAATGGGGGAAAGGAAATGTATGTTTTGAGAGATCAAGAATTAATTCAAATGTTACTTTTACAGCTATTAACTTTTCTTCCCATTTAACCTTTGCAGTGGAGGTGGCAGGGAAGATTCTGAATCATGTGGATTATGGAAATGATCCTTTAAATGAATCTATTTTGAAAAATAAATCGGCTACAAATGCAGAGAAGATGTACATGTGTGAGCAGTGTGGAAAAACATTTTCAAGTAAGCGTACGTTAGCTGTCCACCAGAGAATACATGCAGGAGTGAAGCCATACATGTGCAAACATTGTGAAAAGCGATTTTCTCAAGGTCAACACCTGAAGGCTCATTTGAGGACCCACACTGGAGAGAAGCCTTTTATATGTCAAGACTGTGGAAAACGTTTTTCACTTAAATCCACCTTGAAGACACATTCGTTGACACATTCTTTAGAGAAGCCATTTGTTTGCAATGACTGTGGAAAAGGGTTTTCAAAGGCTTCTTACATGAAGGTTCATCAGTTGACCCACACCGGAGAGAGACCATATGCATGCCAAGATTGTGGCCAGAGGTTTTCTCAGCCTTCTTCCCTCAAAACTCATCGGTTCACGCACACTGGAGAAAGGCCATTTATATGCGCAGATTGTGGAAAAAGGTTTTTACAGGCATCCACCCTGAAGGAACATCAGAAAATTCATACTGGAGAGAGACCATATGTTTGCAAAGAGTGTGGGAAGAGTTTTTCATATTCAAGTGCCATGACTGTCCATCAAAAAACACATACAGGAGAAAAACCTTTCATATGCAAAGATTGTGGAAGGGGTTTTGCGCAAAAGCCTCACTTGAAAACCCACCAGCGGATACACACTGGAGAGAAGCCATATGAATGTAATGTTTGTGGAAAAAGCTTTTCGCTAAATTACAATCTTAAAGCTCATCAGAAGACTCATCTTAAAGGAGATGTATGCGAACAAAACAAATTACAAAGTGAAAATGTTGATGCTATCCAGGTGCAGTCCATCCAAAAAGAGAACTTTCAGTATGATGGAGGTAATGTTGGATGTAAAGAAATTTCATATTCACAGGAAATCCAAGTAGCTTGTCAGATGTGGGAAGATGAAAAAACGAAGAACACCAGACAAGGCAAGTGAAGCATTTTTTATTTTAGATATAAATATAAAAGCATGCTGTATAGAAGTGCTTGTATATATAAAATGTTTTTTTTAAGACTGTATGATATCACCTGGAAATATCAATATTAACCATGACTTGCAAATGCTCAATTTGTTGGTTTTTACAACTTCACGCTTTGCAAAGCAAAAATCGGTTAAGTTTTAGGATAGCAACTAATGTATTGATGTAGAGAGCCTAAATCGTTAAGCTGCACTTGAATAGAAGTGATTAAGCATTGGCAGAACCATTACAAATGCCATTCAAATTTTAACTGTTATACCATTTATGATGGCTCAATGTCCAATGCAGCATTTGTGTTTTTGAAATACAGATTGAAGGTTAAATTGGGCTTTAATAGAAATCATTTATCTTGAGAACAGAGAGCTTGCAGACGGGAGTAAAGTGACATTAGAGGAAGTGCATGTAGGCAGGCGTGAGTGCATGAATTATGAATACTGAAGTGCCATCTTGAAGTTTATCCAGTATTGGATAGGGAGACAGTGTGGAGGCATTATAGTTTGTGGTATGTGGAAGCTGATGTGTGTGCAGGCGACAGTATGGCAGTAGCATATTTGATCATCAGGAGCAGTGGTTCTTACCTTTACTGCAGCCTGCACCACTTTGGTTCTCCATCGTTAATGTTTTTATAATGTTCATAAATACATAGGTTTGATGAAACAAAGTAGTTGTACTTACGTGCCAGTGCTGTAATCGTGTTTTCGATTATTTCTTTTGGAAAAAAATCTGGCATGTCTTGCACCCCCAGAAAGGGCATCTTGCACCCCCAGGGTGTGCATGCACCCCAGGTTAAGAACCACTGGTCTCGAGTGTGAGAGATGTGTAGGGGCCATAGATGAGAGATTTGCCAGAGTTAAGTCAGGTTGTGATAAATAAATTCATTTTATCAGCAGTATTTGATGTAAGAAAATGGTGGATGTGTGAGATGTTGCACAGAATGGAGGTTTTAGGTCCTGTAGAGTTGAGATGTGGGAAGAGAATGATAGCTCGGGATCGATGACAATTGTAACGTCTTGTTCACTGCAAGTGGTTTCAGAGTTCAGGAGGTACATGCTTAAATTGGAGTCTTTACTGAGATTGGACTGTTTTGCTCATGAGTGCATTCAGTTTTGGCAACATTTATTTGGAGAGACCGAATCGGAGGTGAGATGCATCAAAGCAAGATGCGAGTGGACAGTGAACATGGGTTAATGGATTCAATGGCGATGTGGAGCTGAATGTCATCAGAATGGAAATGATGGTCAACATTTAACCTCAAGATGATTTTTGAGGGAGGAGATATATTTGGACTAACAGGCAGTTGAGGATGGAGCCTTGGAAGATGGCATATCTCTGTTTTGAGAAAAATACAGTATTCATATAGAAATTTATAAAGAGCTGTTTGAGAGGTGAGAGTGGAACTAGAAAACAAATGAGCTGGTGATGCCTGCATAATTATTCAGAGTATTAAATGCAAGAGTGTATAATGGGGGCCGACAAAGCAGTAACACAATGATGAGATAGGGCTAACTCTGCTATATCCATGGATGTGTATTTTGTTATGAAGACAGTGATTCTACTGTGGGATATTTGTACATTTATTTTGCAGATGAATAACAGATAAAATAGGTGAGAAATAAGATTATTGGCTGTGTGTGTTATGCAATGATTGTACACATAGCACTTCCTAAACCAATTCGATGCATTCCAAAACTTTGCAGTTTTTTATTAATTAATGTATCTATGATATCAATACCCAAACTATAAGGCTCGTTCTAGCAGGATCCCATCATCTGGTTATAGGTCTTTCCCCAGCTGTTTGCTGACATGGATACCTTTTCTAATACCTGTCTGTAACCTGTCCTCGTCATCATTAATGGAGATATGCCCTACCTACTGTGACTGTTCTTGCGTTTCAATTTGTTTATCTGATTCTGCCACAATTTCTTAAAAATAATTATTCAAATGCCTGACGATATTTTTCGAGTTGCTTTCTTAAAGCCTCGTTATCAGAGCCATACATCAACGTAAACATTGATACATAAAACGGCCATCTTTTAACCCTAAAGTTGATCACTCTGCTCTTACAAAAATTGGCTTATGTCATCTATAAAAAAAATTGATTTGGTAACAAGACATATTTTGACCTCCATCCCATTATTTTACCTGGTTACAGACATAATTTAGATGAAGCTATATCGAAGTGAGATTAAAGCTTGGAGGTTGGCAAGAGGTGTGTATGGAGAATCAGATTTCCAAACTGACGGCAGTTTTACATGAGTATTGGGGCAGTTTTGAGCTCTGTCAGACTAAAAAATAATATGAATTTTAACCAAAGACACGAGGATTGATGCGGCAGCAAAAGTGATAGATTTTACAGTCTAAATAATAAAACGTGGGAGTGTTCAAACTAAGCCATAAGTGATGTAAAATATCAGAGACCTTAATGCGTCAAATGACTACTAATAACAGGAGAGGATAAAGATAAACGTTGAAATTCTCACAATTTGAATGATTGGCAGAAGTCAGTTAATTTATTAAGTCTTAGTGTTTTATAATCTTACATACCAAAACTTAATTGTGTGATGTGTATTTTTTGTCACTGTTGTTTCTGCAGCAGAGGAATCGCATGACGTTGAATGTGGAAAGTTGGCTGAACATTCTAACCATAAGACCCAAGGGTCTCAAAGTGCAGACACTGTATGTGAGCAAGATGTCTCAACAGAGTGTGCTGTCGTAGAGATATCACTCGTATCAGGCCTGGAGTGTAAAACTACTGAAGTGGACGTTGTAAATTGTGAAGAGATGGTGGAAACACATGGTGGATGTGCTACTCAGCAACTGTGGGCAGAGGTGAAAATAGAAAACAGCAGCAACGGTGAGAGAGATGTCAAGCAAATTTCACAAACAACGCATTATGGTAACAATCTTTATACATTTTGAAGACATTTTGTACAAAGGCAAGTGTGTTTTTACAAAATAGTTGATGGGCTACAGGCAGTAATGGGGAACAATTGAAACAAATATTCAGTTTTATTCGAATTTCTAAATAAAAATGCCGTCCTGTTCCAGTCACTTTTCTTATTTTTTCTGTTCTAGCCCAGGGTAAAAAAGCTATCCGAAACCTTACGTTGAAATATTTCCAAAACAAATTGTATGGAACAAAAAAGAATGCTTCTTAGAATTCCATCAGTAAATACAGTTGGAGTAAATGTATTGATTTGAAAATGTATACCTTAAAAACCTTTTGAAGCCAAACACATTTGGAGACATTTTGGGTTATGGAGGGTGTCTGGCATACTGAAAATAATTAAGAGATGGAGCGAAGACATTGATTTGTGTGTAGGTGCTAGGTGGAAGATGGGGTAATATATGTTTTGCACTTCTAGCAACAGCATGAAAAAAACTGGTTTGGCACACGTAGATATGTCTCACAATAAACATAAATATTTTAACTGAATAGTTAGCACACTGGACTTCCAGCCTGTTCAACTCCTGGCATGCCAGTTTTTACTTGGAGTCAGCCATTTTAACATGGCTGTTGGTTATCTATGTTTAAAAGTTAATGTTTAAGTATTAAACACATTAATTATTTAAAAACTTGGGCTGTTTTACATACTAAAAATCGCCATTGGCAATAATATTACATTTTCCTGCTAGAAGTGTCCCACGAACGTTTCCCTGAATCTACCTAAACATGTAAAATATCCCATTTTCGATCGTTTTTCAAACCAAGATGTGCACTACGACATGAAAAGTACTGCATATCAATTACGGTATATTGCAATGCATAGCAATGCTCTCCTTATCTCAATGCATCTTCATACTATGCCCCCTTTGTATGTGCTGGCGCATTACTTGATACATATCCAGTGCAGTGTCTCCGCCTCTGTATTTCCCACCATTCCACTTCACTCCACATGGAGTGATGTGCACTAATAATGCATTGGCACTGACTACACACATCAATGCACTGTGACTATCTATTGAGTGCTGGGCTGCGTGGCGAGAAGAGGAGATAAGCACATTATGGGTTTTTGTGGAGTGTGAGATGTATGCATTGAGAGGCTGGAAATGGGCACAGTGTAGATGTGTGGAATGGGGAATGCAGACATGTGAAGATGTATGGAGTCAGATGCAATGGTAGAACAAAGCACAAAGCTTTATTAAGAGATGCGAGTGTGGTACAAAGTGACAGACATCGCTGCCTCAGGATCAGTGAGGCAGTGAGTTGGAGAAAGAAGCAGTAAAGAAGAACAATGCATAACACATTTTTATGATGGGAAATTAAGTTTCTGCAAATGTTCTCCCAGATCTAACTTTAAATTGTAACAAGTCGCCAGAATAACATTAAGTTAGACCTTTTGGTAGAATGAAAATATTGGTTAATAGTTTTAATCCTCCTGTTTTTTCTCTCCATAGAGGCTGCCAAGAGGACACTCGTTGAGGAAGAGTATGAGAAGGAGCTATTAGATGGTTCTATTCTGAATACAAATGGTGAAAATGTTACAAAAAGGCCTTACATGTGTGAGCATTGTGGTAAGAGGTTTTCTGATAAACGTACTTTAGTTGTTCATATGAGAACGCATACTGGAGTGAAACCATATATCTGCACACACTGTGGAAAAAAATTCTCTCAAGGTCAACACCTGAAGGCTCATAAAAGAATACACACTGGAGAGAGGCCTTTTATATGCAAGATATGTGGGAAAGGATTTGCATTGAAATCCACATTGAAGGCACATGAATTTACACATAGTGTAGAGAAACCGTTTATTTGCAAACATTGTGGAAAAGGATTTTCACTCAAGTCTACTTTAAAAAATCATGAAATTGTACATTCTGGAGAGAAACCATTTCTCTGCAAGGAATGCGGAAAAGGATTTTCACAGGGATCATCTCTAAAAATCCATAAATTGACTCACAATGGTGAACAGCCATTTATTTGTCAGGAATGTGGAAGGAGGTTCTCACAAACTTCTTCTCTGAAGACTCATCAGTTGCTGCACACTGGAGAAAGGACATTTGTTTGCCCGGATTGTGGAAAAAGATTTTCATTTCCTTCTTCTCTGAAACAACATCAACAGATGCACAGTAGTGAACGACCATTTATCTGTAAGGAGTGTGGGAAGAGTTTTTCATACTATAGTAACTTAAAGGTCCATCAGAAAACACATACTGGAGATAAACCTTTTACATGCACACTATGTGGCAGGGGTTTTTCACAAAAACCTCATCTCAAGTCCCATCAGAGGACACACACTGGAGAAAAACCGTATGAATGCCAAGATTGTGGAAAGTGTTTTTCATTAAATTGCAACCTGAAGGTCCATAAGAAGACTCACAGACGACATATAAGTCTGTAATAAACTTTAAGAACGCACTGTCCTTAATCACTGGCATATCCTTCCTGGCTCTCAGGCTCTCTGTCTATCACCCCAAACTTACACAGGAAAACCTTACCGATCGTGATTTAATTAAACGCTTGTTTCAGATATTAATGGTTTTATAAGGTCTGTTTTCCGAACCACAGAGTGATGTTTCGGCTATGCGTGGTTTGACATTGCCAAGATTATTGCTCGGCTTGTGAGACGCGAGTGCTGTATCCGTTGAAAGTCACTTAAGGTGTGAATGAATCAATTGTGAAAACTTCACCGTGTGTTTTTGAGTACGTTTTTGTATTTTTTTGCGTGCGATAATGTAACGCAACACTCACGCGCAACGCAAATGTTCACACATTGGTGCATGCATATAGCCGTCTACTCGTTGAGTACGTCAACCATACGGATACCGAGATGGCAAAGCATTCACGTTCAAGTAACGGTGTTGGGGGGGAGGGGTGAGCGTCGGGCCGGCAAATTCAGTGCAGGGTGCGAGCGTTGGGCATATGAGTGCTGCGGTGCCGGAAGAGTAATGGAGACGAGGGTTTTATGTTGAGGTGAAATTGAACGAGTACACACACTTAAGTAATCGAGAGCGACTCGGCATCCTTAATTACAATCACAAGTGCAGGCAAAGAGGGAAGGGGTGATCATTTCGAAATCCGGAACACACCCCTATTTATCTCAAAAGCTCTCGTCGAATATAACTCCTGCGCTTGGCGAGGTTTTCCTGTTTCTTTCAAATGTCAACAAGCTTGGGTGCAACTAATTATGTATGCAGTAAAACTTCTCGTGGCTGAACATGGTGAAATCAGAATTTGGCCCATGCTGATTTTTTTCCAGCCATTGCTCTGCGTGGAAGGATGTGGCATTCTGTGCAACGTGCCCGAGACCATGGGTTCACCGAATGTTTCAGTCGACCACTTTGTCTGCTAGGAGTGACCTTACGCTCTCATTTTTGGATATTACTTTTCCTAAAACATTCAAACGTTCAATTGGGTTTGTTTAATTGTCAAGAGTTAAGTTATTAATATTTCAATGTTACGTATATTTAATTCATATTTGGTTAATTTACTGAATTATTTACAGTATACTGGAAAAATACGATTACCACTGAATATTTCGTCTGTTTTTGAGAGATTCCCACTGATGTTAACTCTAATAAATGAGAAGCATGATGAAAGTACAGCGCATTCTTGATGTTTAAAAAGAAAATACAACATCATTGCATTTCCAACCTTTTTAAATCCTTTATATTAAGTTCGCTTGCTTGCTTGCGTGCTTGCTTGCTTGCTTATGACCGTGCAAATCTTTCGGTCGTTTTTTAACCCACTTCTCGTCATCCAATCGAGCTGACATTTTGCACACAGACTCGTTGTGTGTGACAATTAATTTTCGTGAAAAAAATTTCCCAAATTTTACACTGTTTAGGGAAAAATAATTAAATATTTAATTACCAATTGCTTAATGGTGGCAGACAATCATCTGACCCATAGGCGGTAGCCATCTCAAGCCAGAGGACGAGAGGACTCGAGCCGCCCCGATGCCACGCATATAAAGGATTTATAGTGAAAAACTTTGTTTTTACGGGTTACTTTTTTCGCTGTAATGTTAGAAGCATATTCATCTGAAGCCATATAGACTTATTTTTATGTATATAAATTCTGTAGTGTAATACATGCTACCGTTACTATTTTAAATAGTTTTAACATGCTCATCCAGCTTTAAAAATGTTCAATGAACAATATTTTTTAGGTAAATACATTAATTATTACGTCCAAAATAAAGTCGAAATAATAGTGAAATGCTGTCAAATACAATGTTCCTTCTTACGCCTTCCTAAGCTGACGCTTGAGTCACTTGACAGGGCATCAATTAGTCAGTCTTGCGGGTTATTTTGGTTAAGGGCCATTGAGCTAACAGGGTCTGTTTCAATGATGACCTGAACAAAGCAGCTGAAACTGCAGCCAAGCACGTTGTATGAGAAGGGAGGGTTTACAGAGATTGCATAACAAAAACAGCGTTTATAAACATCGCCAATAAACAACCAGAACTATGTGTAATGGCAATTTAGCAAGCCATCCAAACTAACATGCATGGTAATATTGAGAGCAACAATTGGAATTCAAAATGCTTTAAAAAAACAGCGTGAGTTCAGTTATATTTACTATTTTAAATTCTCATTTCCAAAAACTGAATTCTGAAATATCAGTCACGTGGCTTTACGAATGGCATTCACAAGTGTGACAGCAGTTGTGGAACAATGCCCTCAATGTGTGTTTTTATTCTACATTTGCCAAAATTAGTTTGATTCTTTTGGATATATTTTGCAATGTGCACGCGGAGGTCGGGAGACACTTTGATTTTTTTACTTTTGTCGTTAATCTCGTGGGGTTAACGTTCACGGGTTCGCCCTATTGCGGGCAACCTTTTTGGGATATCATTTTACCTATTGCGGGGGTTTAGTTTTGGCCTTTCGCGGGTACACTGTACCCAGAAGTATTGTATCGTTGCTGATACCGTGGGGCGCGGCAGGCGAGGGACGCGAGGTCGTCGGTGGCACCTCAACCTGTGCGTGCAAGCATCTCGCGGACAAAGACTCCCCCGTTGTAGCCTTCACAGAGACTCTTGGGCTACACCCATTTCAAACCTTTTTAAATCCTTTATATTAAGTTCGCTTGCTTGCTTGCTTGCGTGCTTGCTTGCTTGCTTACGACCGTGCAAATCTTTCGGTCGTTTTTTAACCCACTTCCCGTGATCCAATCGAGCTGACATTTTGCACACAGACTCGTTGTGCGAAACAATGAATGTTCGTGAAAAAAAATTTGCACAATTTTACACTGTTTAGGGAAAACAAATTAAATATTTAATTACCAATTGCTTAATACTGGCAGACAATCATTTGACCCATAGGTGGCAGCCATCTCAAGCCAGAGGACGAGAGGACTCTAGCCGCCACGCATATAAAGGATTTATAGTGAAAAACTTTGTTTTTACGGGTTATACTTATTAAACAGTCTGCCTCAGCAGCAGATCATGCTTTCGCACCTGATGACGGACACTTGTGTTGCGCCCGAAACGTGATTTATTTTATTTCTACCTACGTGACTTTACCGAAAGAACCAAAGAGTATGGATTCCTGCAGTCACGAAAGCCTTCAAATCAAGATTTAACAGACTGTTGGATAAAATTTTGACTTAACTTTCGTGACTGCAAGGAATTCAGATTATTGGTTCTTTCGGTAAAGTCACGTAGATTAAAAAAGTAATAAAATGTAAAATAATTAAAAAAACATTTCCGTGACTTTACCGAAAGAGCCAAGAATGAGAGACTGTTGGGGCAAGTGCTGTCAAACGAGCAGCTCCTATGAAGGCCGGAACGGCGCACGAGGGGGTCGGTGGCCAGCACCGCCTTTGTCTCTCCAGGAACAATGTTTTCACATTGCACCAGGTACTCATTTGAGGCTGAGCCGACCTAGGGGAGACCCAGAACCGATTAAGATAATCGTCATTAGTGTTTGACGTGAGCGGGGATCAAACTCAGGTAGCCAGGTTTGCAGTAGGGTGTGCTAATTGTAGCGCTACTGCTCATTATTGTCTCGGAATGTTTTTTGTATTTGGTTTTTGTATGTTTATTTAATTTTTTGGTTTTAGTTTATTTGGCATGCAGTACAGTACTTACAATTGTGATGTGTTCATATTTGGTTGCCGTGAACTTAACCCCATTGTTTAGGTAAGGCTTAGGTATTGAATATGACGGTTTTGACTTTCGCGGCACTTTTCAAGAACCCAACTCCCGTGATATCCAAGGGTCGACTGCACTTAATTTATCAAAAAATTAACCCGTAAAAACAAAGTTTTTCACTATAAATCCTTTATATGCGTGGCATCGGTTTTATTTTATTATTCATTTCTGTTTTTCTTGAGTAAGAGTTTCATTTTTATCACATTGGTATTTTAAATTAAATATGAAAAAAAATTTCCTAAAAAGTGGAAAATTTTGGAAAAAAATTTCACGAAAATTAATTGTCACGCACAACAAGTCTGTGTGCAAAATGTCAGCTCGATTGCATCACGGGAAGTGGGTTAAAAAACGACCGAAAGATTTGCACGGTCATAAGCGCGCAAGCAAGCAAGCAAGTGAACTTAATATAAAGGATTTAAAAAAGAAGGTACACTATGTGAGAAGAATTCATTTTCTCAGTATAGCAGTATGTAAGATGCATTATTTTCGGAATGGCTTCGTGGTCAGAAGGTTTTTAAACAGGTAGTTTGCATTTTAAGGTTTGGTTTAGATATCTATGAAATATAAATTCCAATGTTGGATATAAAGGAAATGCAGTTTTTACATTAGATTGTTCACAGATAATTCCATTCATGTGAACATAATTGATTCCCAACCTACAATGTTTCCTGTTCAAGTACTGTATTCCATGATCTGGCTTTAGTTCCATCCCCCAACCCTCCGTGTATGTATGTTGAAAATGATTTTGCACCTTATGGAGCCAACTGCTACTCGTGTGTGTGCGCTCCTTTCCTAGTACCTGCACATGTCCCCAAACATTCAGAATGTATTTTTGGTTACATCTGCATTGGTTTCCTACCATTCAATATAGATGTTCATGTGTATCAATTACGTTATTCTACGTGGTTCTCTTGATTCATAAGTGCTTAAATGAATGCATCGGTTTCCACTGAATAGATTGCCTTGTCATGTCAACAAGATGGGCATAATATATATAAAAAATAAATATTTCTGGGATCTGATTAATAGTATTTGTGTGGTCAATTGTGTTGCACCTTTTACAAATGTGTTTTGCTCATGTGGTTGATTGGCCTCTTAAGTTGTCCATTATTCGGTTCCTTACGATCTTCGTGAAAGTGGTATACATTTATTTGAAGGCTAATGGATCTGTTCTGTCACCGTTTTGAATAGAAGAATGGTTGAATCATTACACGCTTGAGGCATTTAATTTCCATGTCAACAGCTGGTTGCGCTTACATGACGTTCACAGTTATTCCATCTGGTCTGCGAGCCTTCTCTCTTTCCATACTGTTAGTGATCTCTATCATCTGGTGTTTAAAAAAAGCGACAAGCTCCAATTGTATTGTTTTTGTACGCCATTCCACAGTATCCGGAGTAGCTGAGTGGAGTCCCATTTATTCCACCAGAATACACGTGCATTGGGCAATCACCAGCAATGTGCTTTATGGTGTGCGACTCGCCACATTTGCAGTTTGGCGTGTCTTTGATCTTCTATTCAGAGGAAATATCCACACGAGCAATGTGCTGATCACACGATTGAGGGCGCTCCACTGAAATACAACTTTTACAAAAAAATTCTTCAAGAGCCAAAGGGTACAGAACGAATAGCAAAGAAAGGGCGAAAATTATAACAACGAACGGTTGACATAACGAGTTACTACACCATCGTGATTAGAGAACGGACGAGAGCACGTCGGCACACCGCCCTATCATGGCAGGGGAAATAATACGGGACGGGGTATTTGCAAGGGGAGGGGAGGAGAGGGGGAGACAATGTAACCAAACAAAGCCCAAAAATAAAATCACATAAATTCGACGTCAGAGTTATGTTTTTTTTACCAGGAGCAACGATCACTTGTGTAAACAGGAGCGTGGCACAGTGTCCGGAGTCCGTCATGACTCCCCTATCCCTTCTCCCCGGCCGACAGCGCCATCGCTATTTCATGGTGGGTTAACCAAAAACAGAAACCATGTGACCTCATTCCCACTCCTTCACTTTCAACGTATGGCCAGAGATGTCCCATACCTACCAGGAAGAGGAGAGGGGGCAGTGCCGGATTAAGCTAGTGCGGGGCCTGTAGCATATGTTATAAAGGGGGCCCTAAAAAAATATAACTATTAAAACACAACTTTTTTTACTCGCATAGTAAAGTAATTGTATTTTTCAGTAGCTATGCAGCCAGATAATACGACAAATCGCTAAACTTAAACACCCAGTCGTTCATAAAAGTTGAAGGCGGTGTAGTACTATAGTAATAGAGCAAGTGCAGAATCACTGAACCGGAATTTATAGCTTGAAATAATTTAGCGCGGGACCCTTGAAAGTGCGGGGCCCGTAGCATATTTAGCTACTTTTGCTGCTAGGATAATCTGGTACTGGGTGGGGGAGATTGTGTTCTTTCCAGTGGGCCAAAATAGTTTTCCTACCCATTGTATCGAAGGTTTGGAGCAGAGCGTGCTGGTATATTATAATCATTGTGGTCTTGGACAACTGAAAGGGTCACCCCCTTGCCACAAATACGGTTAAAGTCTGTAATATCCTGATGGAATCCTAAGATGTCAGGGCATGTCCAAAGGCGTCTGAGTCATCCTTTGCTCAATTCTTGTCTTGTTCAGGCAATGGCACAGATTGCTTCTAAACCTCGATAAGTGGTCGAGATTGGACAAAAAGGCCACATGGCCATTTCATAGGTCCCTGTGAATATAAAGTGTTTGGTAAAGAAATAACTTTTTACGGAACGTTGTTACGATTTTGATGATAGAAATTTTCATATGACATAGCAAATTATTTGCTTCCAGCAGCTTCCTGTATTAGTGTTTTACCTCCATCAGTGCACTTCATCTGAATAGAAGGTTTCCATCAACATTAAACCAGTTGAGAAATACGCTTTCAAAAAAGCGTTACACAATTTCCAGCTAACATGTCTGTGCAGCAGATGGCAGCACAGGTTCTAGAATTGCATCCTCATCATGGTCCTGCTACTGTACTTGCAAGAGATGATCGCTGACATAAAATATGGTTCTCAAGTGGGTGTCAAGTCTTGTTAGATCTGAATGAGTTGTGCTTGAGGACATGATGCTATGGTAATGAAAACGGGTAGAAGAAGAGGGCTGAAGATGTGACTACAGCACGCTTCACATTCTGTCAAAAATATTTGTATAAAACTAATAAATAACGTTTCCGCTTGGTATTCACTTTCTCAATTGGAATATGGCAGAATATAAATCCATATAAGATACGATTATTACATATCCAACTGCATTACTGTGTACTTGAGAATAATCTCAATGGTATGGCCTGTATATGAAACTAGAATATTGCCGCTTTCCGTTACAACAATTTGTTTAAAATAAACGTGACGCATTTGCATTTTTAGATGTCAGAAAGAAAATGTTAATTATGAAAACCGCTTGGAAAATGTTCATAAGGCAAAATGTTTGAAGGAAGAAAGGGACACATTTTTGAGTGAGTGTCAGGGCTGAATTAGGCAAGGATATTGGCAGGTTGTAAAATCACTTGGTGTGACTGCGCAGCAAGGCAAAAGCACTTGGTCACACTGGCAGGCAGCTCCCATGGGTGCAGTGACATTGAGCAAGATGGAGCAAGTCTATTCCTTGCCTGACATTCTGCCCAGGCAACTGTTAACATGTCGGTCACGTAACCCACAAGTACGCAAATAGGTATTGGAATGGCAAAGATAGGGCCATAAGATACTGTCTATTAGTATTGCTGTAACATGCAGATCAAGCATGCAGAGTGTATTGCCCATACACGTACATATGACTAAGACAAATATTCCTCACGTTGCCTGTTAGAGACCACGGGTAATTGCTGTTCGTGAGCGTCCATGAATGGTGGCATGACACGAGGGGTGGTGTGGCTAGCACCACACTTGGCCGTCTTTGACTCCCAAGTGATGTTTACACACAACACCAGGTACTAATTTCATGCTGGATTGACCTCGGACCCTTTCACGTAATCGCCACTGATGGTTATGAGTGGGAATTGAATTCGGGTCGCTGGGTTTGTTGTGCAGTGCGTTAAACACTACAATATCGCTCCACGCACACATTACACATGCTCACAATATACACACAATTACCCTCACATGGATAGTACACTCGCACAACTACAAAAAACGCAACACATTCATCAATATCTGTGGCCTTAAAAGGGAAACAAAAATGATTTTTTTTGGGTATCGGCCCTTTTTAATAGCCCATAATACGCAATAGAGATGCACATGCGCAGTTGCAGTACAGTATGCACACATTACATTCTCACAAGCACACGATGCTCATGCCCATTGAAGACATTTACACACTTTCACTCCGTACATTAGAGAACAAAACACGTACACATTGCACTCACGCAATAATGCATTCCACATTACACACGCTTTGAATATATGCCACCCTTAGCATGTGTGTTGAAACGTGGTAACATTTGCACAAGTGCTTAATTCATTTTATATTTTATACCTACGTGACTTTATCGAAAGAACCAAAGAGTATGCTTAATTCAGGTTGTGCTGTTGGAATTGGAAGTTTGGGGTAGACGAGATATAGGATACTCAACGAAGATCCGTGCTATGCTTGCTTTGTAATCTTTGGCTCAATTTTGCTAAAATCCACTGATAATACGTCACCTATCACCTGTGCTGTATTATATGATTGTGTTTACATAGAGGTAAACATTGGAAGAAACCAACCATGTAAGTGCGACAGGTCTTGTTTACCTTTGACCATATACAGTCGATCAGACTGGAAAAGGATCCTGAATTTCAAATCGAATTGTGTCTCGAGTCGAAAAGGCAGTCGATCAAGTCGAAACTGATGCAGTCATTTGAGTTCTCACAAATCGAGACCGACATATACTATATTTAAAAAAGAATAACCGTTTACCAAAATGGAACACCTACACGGAGTGTGTTAGAGTGCGTTTTGGAAAGATGCACTTCATAATAAAAACCAACATACCAATATGCCTAAATAATAACTTTTTAACCATCTACCTTCAAGCAACAGCTGAAGTATGACCTGTTCAGGATGGAGTCAGCTGTTGATGCTCCTGTGAGTTGAGAAGATCACGCCAGGAGCAGTGAACGCTCTATCGACTGTGAGAAGGCCACACTAAGGGCCAGGGGAGCCTCATTCACTCTTGTGGGAACCTCAGCACTTGCACATAAAGGTTTGTGAGTTGCAATGCACCTCGGTGCCGAGTGTGTACCGAGGGTTGTGTGCTGTGCGGTGTGCGAGTGGATTTGTTAAGTTGGTCACAACGGTGTAATAATTATCATTTTACGGTGATCTATATACTCATTTCTTTTTGTTAAGAGCTTGAATCAGTGAGACGGTGATAGTGTGGTACACAGACCATGAATGTATTTGGGAACCCGGGGTGTAGTGAGCCGTGGTTTACCAATAGAACCCAGTAAACTCGTTATACCGCACCTGAATCAATTACTTGATACAGCAATCGTGCTGTGACGGTTCCACCTGAAGACGGAAGCTTGTGTTGCCTCCGAAACGTCGTGATTTTTATTTAATTTTTATTTTACTTTTTATTAATTTTTATTTTTTACATACGTGACTTTACTGAAAAAAACCTAAGAATCTGAATCAATATTTCATAACGGGTTTAGAAGGTATACGTCACGTTTTGGTTGGTGATTCCTTTTTCACGGAGATCACACTTCCCAACCTGCACTAAAATACACAGAATAAGAGAGGAATACATAGGTTAAATAACTTAAGCAGATTACAGATGCATTTTAGATTTTTGTAAGAAAAGTGGATTCGGGCAGGACATGCCACCACAAAGGATAATGGCCGGTGGGCGATAATAGCTACTGATGAGCAGTCAAAAATTAACCCGTAAAAACAAAGTTTTTCACTATAAATCCTTTATATGCGTGGCGGCTAGAGTCCTCTCGTCCTCTGGCTTGAGATGGCTGCCACCTATGGGTCAGATTGTCTGCCAGCATTAAGAAATTGGTAATAAA